AAGCCCCCCTGCCTCGCTTCGGGGTGTAAAGACACTACCTGAAGAAGCAATCACGGCGTCCTCAAGGTGAGCCGTGCGCCCCATGCCCCGGCAACCCCACGCCCAGGGGTGTAGGAGCGAATGAAAGTCAAGTGTGTGCACAGAGGGACATGCAGCTGGCAGCCTCGTGCTGGCAGGACAAGCACCTGCGGCCCGTGCAGATGGAGGAGCCATGCACGGGCACAGCCACCTGGACGGCTCCCACAAACACCGCGCTGAGCGACAGCAGTAGACACGAAGGCCACGGCCCTGGTGGCCCCTCGAACGTGAACCCCACATGCAGGCAAAACTAACTGGGGTGACAGAAGCCAGAGAGTCGTGGGGGGGTGACCGGAAGGGGGCATGGGGTCCCCAGGGCAGACGCATTCTCTATCTGGTTTGGGGAGGTGGTTATATGGACGTGCTCAACTGTCAAAACCCATCCCCCAGAACATGGAAGATGAGGCCTTTGTCCGCTCACAATGTCTCATCTGAAAACACACTGTGTGGACTGGGCGCTGTCCTCCATGGGATTATGTCGGACCCCAAAGCCCAAAGCAGGACCTGCACACGGCAGGTTCTCTAAACATGTGTGTCAAGTGAATGCCCGAAAGAAGGCAGCAGAGGGACCATGTGTCAGCCACAGGAAGATGGTGGCCAAGGGAAGAGCCCGCAGGACCGAGGTGAGGACGAGCTCGGGGTGATGGACAGGATAGAAGCTGGAGGTTTGTGGGGACAAGGCATGGCTGGAGCAAGGAACTGGGGAGTCACCAGGTGCACTGCCATGCTGAAGGCATGGGGCCCGCGGGCTCCCCGGGAGGCAGGACTGTCAGCGTCAAGAACTCAGGTGCCAATCGGCACTCCAGCTCCATTATATCACCCCCATGTCCTCCTCCGTGACATGTGGCCACCACCGCCCACCTGCTGGAAGTCAAGGTGCTCACTGTGGAGCGCAGCTGCCAGCAGCAGGCGGGGCATTGGCAGGGTCTCGCTCTGAGGGGGCACTAGAACGTCGGGGACCCTGTGCCTGGCTGAGGCAGCAGGGTTTTCCCAGTGGGCAGTGGGCAGCTCTCGGGGCTTTAAGTGGAGGAACAGCTGCTCAGATGTCTCTGGAAGGCCAGCTGGCCGTGGGACACATCTGGACGCAGAGCCAGAAGCCTGGGGCAGGAGGGCGGAGAGGCCCCTGTGTCTGTCCAAGCAGAGGACACAATGGCAGTGGACATGGGCGGAGGCTGCAGAGGGCTGGGGAGAAGAGTGGACAGTGAGTTGGAAAAACAATGCAGAGGCTTGGGCCCAAGTGACTGGTCAGCTGGAGGAGGTGACCAGACAACTTCAGGGACGAAGAGGCAGAGCCAGTGCCCAGAGGAGCAGACGGAGGCCGAGGGCCAAGAGCCCGGGGGGCTGGGGAGCTGCTGCCCCTGATCCACATCGGAAAGGCAGCTTGCAAACCCCACCTGGACTTTGGTTAGCAGGGCGCACGGGGGGCCTGCCGGCGAGCGCAGCACCTCACACAGGGTGGCCTCAGGCAGTTCGGGCAACCTGCTCCTTGTAAACAGCACAAGATGGGGGACAGACAGGCGCGGAGAAAGCCTGGTGCTCAGGAGCTGCCGATGGTGTTGTGTGGTGGGGGGTCATGGTGGCCATTATCACCCCTGGCCACAGGCAGATGGAGAGATGGGAAGGAGGAAAGCTGGAAGTGCTAGGACAGGACAGGGGGACGGTGGCTCCCTTTCCCTCTTAAAACCCCTTTAATGTTGTTAAAATGAGGTGGTGTTTTAACCATAAACAGAAATCAAGTACATGAGAGGAAGGGAGGGAGGGAGATGGGACCCGGGGCCCCAGCGGATCCAGGAGGTGAGAGGCCAGGACCCAGGCCTGAGGCTGCGGCTCCTCCTCAGAGGGCCCCCCGCCCTGGGAGCCCACCCTGGTCCCCTCCTGCTTCGCCCGTCCGGGCCAGCCACAACCACGGCCACGGTCACAGCCTTTGGCTGCTCCTGCAGGCCTGAGGAATCTGTTTGTGTAGCAGTTTTGTTCTCTTCCTTTCCCCCAGGGATCCACAGGAAGGCCATCCAGGGAGGAGGCAGGAGAGCTGGGGAGGCAGAGGCCTAGCTGGCACACCTGGGCCCTGCTGGCGCCAGAGCCGAGCCGGGGGCAGCTGGGATGGGGCCTGAGGACGCGTGTCCCTCGCCCAGCTCAGCTCCCTGCAGGGGGCAGCTCCTCCCCAAGCCCCCCACCCCCACCTCACGGATGGACGCCCCCTCCTGCTCTCAGTCGGCCCCAGTCCCCCTCCTGCTCTGCGGGAGCCGGCTGGCTCTTGGGCCCACTTCAGCCGCCCATTCACCAGCAAAGGAAACCACAGGAGGTGGCCGAGGCAGCCACTGTCCCTCTTTAGCCGGAACCCGAGGAAGGAGAAGTGGTCCCAGCTATATATACTTATGGAGAAAAACAGTGTGCAGATCGGAGCCTGGTAAACAGCCGGCCCGTTACAGGGAACCTAAAAATATTCCCTATAATTATGTTATTAAAACACACCAGAAAAATTGACCCACCCCACTCAGCAGAGGCCCTGAGACGGCTGCAGGGACGCGGGAGGCTACGCACGTCGGCCTGAGGGTGCCCTGGCATCACCCAGGGGCTGGGCTGGCCCGGACACTGCCCCATCGCCCTGGGGTGGTTCTCATCTCCCCGACTGGCAGCCTCCCCCAGGGCTGATCGCAGCCACCGGCCTCAGCCTGTCTGCTCATCCACAGAATGGGAGGATCCTGACCCTGTTTCCACCCCTGAGAAACACTCCCCATGAGCAACAGAGGGGGACGTTACTGTGACTCCAAAGACCTGGGAGCCACCTAAATTCCCAGGAGGGGCACCCCAGTAACCTCGACGCCACAAGGGAGGGAGAGGGGAGACTGAGTGGCGGTGTTGCGGCTGCGACGGCAGACACATTTCTGCTTCGACAGGAGCAGACAGACCTGGAAACGGGCAAACCAGAGGCTTCCTTCTGAGAACAGGGGAGGGGCGGGCGGGCTTAAGGTTAAAAGCGGAACTTAACCTTATCTAGCATTTCACTGTCTTATGGAAAGCATTCATAGATTATTTGTGCAATTAAAACGAAATAAAAATCAGAACAGGGGAGGGGTTCCAGTCTCGGGTCCCTCCAGCCCTTTTCCAGGCCCAATCTCCCTACCCCACCCCATCCAGCACTGGAGCCCTGAAGGAAACACACTCCCACAGCACCCCCATCCACCAGGCCACCCACCCGGCTCTTTCTAGAGACAGAGTCCAACTATGGGGGCTGCCCTGGTCTGGGGCCTGGAACTGCTACCCTGCCCTGCCCCAGCCTGGCTGCCGACTTTTCTCCCTCCAGCAGAGTGGCCTCCTCTGGGGCTCACCTACCCACAGTCCTGCTCAGCCTGGACCCTATTCTGTAGGGCATTATTTGGGGACCCCGTCTTGCAGGGCACTATTGGGGACCCCGTCTTGTAGCACATTATTTGGGGACCCCATCTTGCAGGGTGCTATTTGGGGACCCCATCTTGCAGTGCATTATTTGGGGACCTCGTCTTGTTGGGTGTTATTTGGGGACCCCGTCTTGCAGGGTGCTATTGGGGACCCCATCTTGTAGCACATTATTTGGGGACCCTGTCTTGCAGGGCATTATTTGGGGACCCCATCTTGTAGCCCGTTATTTGAGGACCCCATCTTGTAGTGTGTTATTTGGGGACCCCGTCTTGAAGGGCGTTATTTGGGGACCCCGTCTTGCAGGGCGCTATTTGGGGACCCCGTCTTGCAGGGCGCTGTTTGGGGACCCCGTCTTGTCGGGCGTTATTTGCTGCGCCATCTCTTTCCCATGTGCGCTGAAGCGCGGTGAAGCCCAGCAAACGCACTTCCAGAAGCAAAGCGCCGCGAGCTGGCGGGACCCCAGACCTCCCTCGGCGGCCAGGAAACCGCGGGCTGGTTAGAAGGAGAAGAATGAGCCCAGCCCCTCCCACGCCGCCACCACTGGCCCTAAACCAGGACGTCGGCTCCTGGCACCCGCCCAGAGCTGGGCCCTCGAGACCCGGATGAGCGAACGCTTGAATGAACTCCGGAGGCGCGGGCAGGGTCCGCGGGAGCGCGCAGGAACCGGCGGGGCGCGGGGGGCCGGCCGTCCCCGGGAACGCCCCTGGCTGGCCTGGCAGCCCCGTGCGCGCGGACCCCAGCGGTGGGTGGCCCCTTCACGCGGCTCCCCGGAGGCCCGACCTGGCCGTCGGCGGCCAGCACTCCGGCCGGGAGCCGAACATCTGGGAAAGTGCTCTGCGCCCGGCCTGGTGCGCCGGCGTGGGAGGGCGGCCCTGCCCCGGGCGGCCGGGGACGGGGAGCCCAGAGAGCTGGAGCAGCCTCCCAGTTTTCACTGTCTCGTTTACAGGGGAGGAAACTGAGGCCCAGAGAAGGGGTGAGGCAAGTTCAGAGAAGCACAGAGATTGCTGCCGCCCACGACCTCTCCCTCCCCAGTGCAGCCTGCCCTGACCTGGAACTCCACTCCAGGGCCCCCAAAGCTGACATCCTGCCAGCAGGAGGTGTGGAACTCACCTGCCTGGAGAAGGAAAAACTCCACCCTCAGCTTCATCCCTCCTGCCCCTGATCTGGTGGGGGCGTGAATCCCCGTCCCCAAGCCACCCATCGCCAAGCCGGGTTCCTCACCCAGAAAACAGGCTGAGCCAGAGGAGTTCAAAGGTCAAGGGTGGGACAGAGCTCAAGGGTAGAGCAGGTGGTCCTGCCCCACCCCCCAGGACAGTCTCAAACTGAGAGGGACAAGGAGCTGGGGACAGGGACATGGCCACCCTGCTCCCCTTGAGGGAAAGCACGCAGCAGACGCTCCTCGCGGGCGCTGCCGGGCAGCCTGTGCGCCATGTTAGCTGCTTCTGTGACGCCTGCGTCTTCACCACGAGGAAGCACAGAACTGCTTTGGTAACCAGAGGGAAAGAATCTACGTCAAAAAAGAATCCACATAAAAAAATGTCTATATATTTCGAAAATAGATGACAAAGACCAATTTTTGTTGAATTCTAAGGAAAAGGGGATTTCTGAGGACCAGAGTGGCCATGCATCGCTTCCCATAAGAGGTGGCTTGCACCGGGGGGCTGAAGATTGTGGTGGCAGGAAGGGGACCTCTGTGACTCCTCGGGGATGGCCCCATCTCAGGATGGCCAGGAAGGCGGGCCCCGGCGGCGGCGTTCAGGGCGGATGGGGCCCCTCAAGGTGAGGTCGAGGAGGCCGCCCTTCCTCCTCTCCATCTCTGAGGACCGAAAGCAAATTCAGTGCCAAGTCAGAATGGGAGAGACGCCACCCAGGAAGCAGCCCGCCCCACGCGGCCAGGAGCGAGACTGGGCACTCCTCCCACCCACAGCCACGACACTTCCTCTGCAGGACCCTTCCCTGTGGGGCCCGGGGCTCTCCAGGCCTGGCTGCCAGCAGGATGACCCCAGAGGGATGGCCACAGGTGAACCATGCTCAGCTTCTGGGTGGACCCCCGCCCTTCCCTCAAACACGTGCGCACGTGCACACACCCCCTTTCGGTCCTGTCAACCAGGCGCCTCAGTCTTGCTGACTCATCCAGTCTTCCTGGGGGGCCAACACCAAGGCAGCGTCCCTTCCCCAGAGGAAAGCAGGGCCTGCCCCAGCTCTGAGGCCACCAGTCCTGGGTGCTCTCCTTCCTAGTGGCACCCGCAGAGTGTGGCCTCTGGATGGGACAGACCACACCTAAGCTGGCTCTGAGCCCAGCATGGTTCACCCCCAAGGGGCTACTGGGCAGTCCTGGATCTCACACCTGCACACGAACAAGGCCGTGCGTCCAGGCCTCCGCTGTCTCGTCGAGAGGACCCCGTCCTGCCCGCCTCACAGGGGTGTTGAGTCAGCGCTGGTGGAAACACCACGAAAAGGAGGAAGTGTCCCCATTCTAAACGGCAGCACTTCTCAGTGATAATGAGTCTGGCGCAGGGGCTGGCTGTGTGCGGTGGGCGGGCCTGCCAGGGAGGCTGGTCCCACAAGGCGAAGCGACACTGCGGCACCGGGTTTGTTTCCGCCGTCGGCGAGGAGGTTCCTGTTCTAACCACCTGCCTTTCGGCTCCGTTGTTTGTTCCTGGCCGCCCCCGTTAGGTCAAGAGTCAGGAGGCACGGCCTGTCCTGTGGGAATCACAAGACGCCCAGCCCGACATCCCTCTCGAAGATTCCAGCTCTGGGTCCAGACCCCCCAGGTGAGATGCGGCAGCGTCACCCCTCCCAGGGGGAGTCGGAGAGTCCCTGCCACGAGGAAGAGCGTTCTCTTCGTTGTCCGGGCAGTGCTTCTGCACAGGGAGTGGTGTGGGGCTGAGGGCACTCCAGGATGACTCAGACCCTCGCCTCAGCTGCTGCCCGAGCCAGCATAGGGCACCAGTCTGACTAATCTCCTCTGAAGGCTTTAGACACACCCGTCTCTCACTTCCAAAACATGCAGAACTCACCCTTTCTAGCCTCACAAGACAGCGGAGCAAACAGCCCCCCCATCCCAGCCAGGCCGGCGGGCCTCGACATCAGCAGGACGGTGCGAGGCTCCCTCAGGAGCTGCCCATGCCTGCGGGAGCCAGCGCCAGAGTCTCAGGTGTCGCTGGGCAGCGCCTTGGCGGCTCCACGTCACCCTCCCCCAGAGCTGAAGAAACAACTCTGCAGCCCGCCCCACACGCGGCACAGAACCCAGGTGGGCGTGGCCCGGATAGCAGGCTTTATTATTTTTTTAATTAATAGACTTTATTTTGGGGGCAGTTTTAGGTTCACAGAAAAACTGAGCAAGAAGTACAGAGAATTCATCAACAAGCTCCCTCAGGTGACTCTACTGTGGCCCAGGTGGGAACCCCACGTGAGCGCCAGCGCAGCGTCCAGAGGACCAGAGAATGGTCCCCGGCCCACCCCGCCCAGTGCCTGTAGAGGCGGGAGCTGCCACCAGAGAGCCGGAAGAACCCGGGAAGAACCCGGGACCCCCGGCTAATTCAAGGATCAACAAACTCCAGCCCTCAGGCCAAATCTGGCCCCACCACTTGTTTGGGTACAGCCCACAAGCTAGGAGTGGTTTTACATTTTTTAATGGTTGGAAAAAATATCAGAAGATTTCGTGATGTGAAAACATTTACTAGGGGGCCCGTTACAGAAAAAGTTTACCGACCCTGCACCATGAGATTCCACCACCGGGGAGCCGCCCCTCAGGAAGGAGCCCAGCTCCGATTCCCCCCAGGCCTCACGGGTCCCCTCCCTGTGCTCAGGGGGCTGCAGGTGTGGCCAGCAGGGGTGAACCTGCTCTTCTGAGAGCCTTCCCTGTCACTCCCCCCAACACTGCCAGCTCCTCCGCCGACCTCTAGCTGGGTCTGTTCTGCTTGTTTGTACCGTCTGGCTGTCTAGAGGCCCGAGGAGGAAACCAAGCCGGCACAGAGCACAGCCGGCTGACCCTGCGCTCTCCGGAGCAGAGCCCAGGCTGTCTGTCCACACAAGGGCTGACTCAGACCCTCCTCTCCGGCCTCAATGGTTTTCATTGATTCCTGTCCTGAAAATGTCCCCAAGCTTCACCACCTTTCTCTGCTACAGATCAAAACATGGTCTGTCTGGGAGCCACAGTGCAGGCTGCTCTGGGTCCCCTGCATTCCTGGCCCACGGGGCGTCTACTCTGACCTGTAATAGACGCTGGCAGAGGCCTACCTGGAGTGACTGAAGAGGCTCTGGAAAGGCTTTCAGAATAAAAACACCCCCACCCGCCATGGTCTGAAGGATTTCCACCCAACAGACAGACTTTCACAATGCAAACCACTCTATCTTTCAGTGAATTAATTTAATGAGACTGTCCAGCTCACGGCCACTAGGACAGCCCGGCATGGAGGGGGCTGGGGGCTGGGCGAGGGGTGGGATGAGCTCCTGGGTGCTGTGCTCTCAGCACAGTGGCCGCAGGGAAGGGTGCAGAGGACAGAACCACAGCGACATGCTTTTCGGAAGGGGCACCGATGACCCGGCCAGCAGGGGACACTGATGCCAGAGTTGGGGACACCCAGCTCTGATCCTAAAGCCAGAGCCTCCAGGGGCTGTTCTCCCACCCAACCCAGGGAGCAAGCCAGGGCCGGCGGGCAGGGAGGAACCCGGACTATTCTTTCCAAAGCCTGGGCCTGCCCCAGTCCGGCTGGCGGGGTGGGGACGGGAAGGGGAAGAGCGAGGGCCTGAGCCCAGGGCACGGACGTTAGTTCTGCTCTGGAGGATCCAGATTAAACAGCTCCAGGCAGGAAGCCCGCCTTCTCCAAGATTGGTCAGGAAGTCATGATGCAAGTTTGCGCTTTTTTTTTTTAAACACGAAAGAGAAAAAGAGATTCGTGCCCCCCTCACCAGCACTCCGGCCCTTAACATAGGGGCAATCTCCTCCCTGGCCGGCGACCCTCCTCTCCAGCGCCCCGGGCGAAGGCACCAGCCGCGCTCTCGGGGGCACTCGCCTCCCGCTCCCGTGGGCGCCGGGGTGCCATCCCTCTGCCACCCGCTGCCGCCCTCTCAGCCCGGCGCTCGGACGGGGGCCCCGCCGAGGCCGCCCGCGCCGCCCCGGCCTCCCCGGCGCTCTCATGCTTCTGGAATGCGGGCGCCCAGGGCCGCGCGTCCCGGGGAATCTCTGCGCCCGCCCGCGCACGGCCCTTGCCCAGCCGGGAAGTAGGGAGCGGGGACGCAGCCCCTGTCCCAGCCCAGAGCCCGCCGCGCCCGCCCCACTCACCGGCCAGGAGCGCGAAGGGTAGCAGCAGCCAGTAGAGGAGAGCGCCGAGCACGTGCGGCTCCATGCCCGGGGGTCCCGGGTCCCGGGGTCTCTGGGCCGCCTCGGCGCTAAGGGGCGGCACCCGGCAACCGGGGCCGACGCGCCATGGCGCACAGGGCGGGTCGCCGCACGTGCGGAGCGCCGCGGCCAGTACCCCCGGCTGGTCGGCGGGGACCCGAGCGCCTCCGCGGCCTCCTCCTCCTTCTCCTCCTTCCGGTGCCGACGGCCGGGGCCCGCGTCCGCTGCGGCGTCAGCCCTGCCCCGCGGCGGAGCGCAGCGCGCGGCTCTCGGCGGCCGAGCAGGGCCGGTCGGCCGCTTAGCAACTCCCTCCCTCCCTCCACCCGCCCGCCCGCCCGCGGGCCTTTATAAGCTAGGCCCCCGCCCTCAGCCGCGGGCCCGCCTCCGCGCTCCCCCGACGGCCCGGCGCGCCCGCCACCCTCTCCGCGGCTCCACGCGGCTCCACGCGGCCCGCGTGCCCAGCCAGCCCTCCCGGCCGGGGCTGGCAAGCCGGACAGGAGACCCCCGGCCGGCGGGCGCACGTCCCAGAAGAACCCCATCCCCAATAGCCTTGGTGCCGCGGCTCGGCGTGCGCGCGGGGGCGGCGCTTCTCCTCCGGCGGCCCCGGCCGAGCGCCAAAGACCGGTTCCCTAGTGCCCGGCCTCCCCGGGCAGTACCCCACGCGCAACTGCGCCCCGCGTGTCAGGAGCGACTTTCGCTTTGCTCCCACAGACGTGAAGTCGCAGCGCCCCCTGGGGACCGCGAGGTGGCTCGGGGCCCGCCCGCAGTGCCAGTGCCACAACCAGTCTGGGGGTTGGATGGGAGGCCCCCGCCGCTCCAGCCGCGCCGGCCGCCACCTTCAGCTTGGCCCTAATCGCAAAGTGGAGTGATGACAGCCAGAGCACCCGCCAGGCCTGTTGCCCCTTGAGTGGACAGGCCAGGGCTGAGTCCAGGGTTGCCGGCATTTCACCCAGGCCACTAGGTTGGGCCTCTGCCACCCTTGAGGTGGCTCGGAAAGGAGGGGGGGAAGGGCCCCACAGAGGGAGAGGCAGAGCCCACAGTGTGGCTGGACTCAGGCCAGGGTCCCAGACTCTCTGTGTAGGGAAAGAGCAAGGTTGAGGGGTGGGGACCCCAAGAGCCTATGCCCAGCACTGACCAGCTCCCCACCAGCGACTGATGCCGGGCTGTACACAGGCCCAGACCCTCCCACTCTTCAAAGGCCAGAAATGTGGACTTCGATGAAGTCTGGCGTTTAGGTGCTGACTGGCCTCCCCACCTCTCCTCCTGCCTGCTGGAGCCTCTTAACTCCTGACTGCGGTCCCATCTGACCCTGGACTTTTTCTAGGTCCCTCGAGACTTGTAGCCTCGGAGCTCCTCCCAAGGGCAGAGCCAGAAGGAGGCTGGAGATGTGGGGTCCTGCTGATTGGGGGTCCCAGGAGCCGCCTGCAAAGGCCGCCTGTTCCCAGCCTCTGGTACAGACAGCTGGAGCTGCCCCCCAGGTAAGGCCGGATCTGGCTGCCTTGGGTCATCCCTTGTCAGGGGTGGTGGCCAGGGTCTCCGAGCAGCATCCGCATCAACGGAGATGACCAAAAGGCCAACACACATGGGTGCCACCAGCTGCTGGCTCCCTGGCCCGGGAGGCCTCCCTCCTTTCTGTGCTCAGGGAACATCTCCGAGATCGGGTGGGGGCCCCAAGCGGTGGAGTTGTGAAGTTCTAAGAGGAACCATGTCAAAGTGGACTGAGAAGTAACATGTAACCGGTGAGGGACTGCCATCTGTCCCCTCAGTTACCCCCATCATCCTTCTTAATCAGGCTATGGCTTGGCACAGGGAGGGCAGGAAAAGAGAGAGAAAGGCTCACCTGGAAGCCAGCAGTGGACATGGGCAGAAGAGACACTGCAGCAGGGTTAGGGCTCCTCTCACCCTTTCCTCCGCCTGTCCTGCCCTTATAATCATGGGGGCAGCTGGGGGCTCCCCTCTGGGGACACTGACAGCGACCTGCACAGGTCCACTGACCCCAATCCCAACCATCCAACTCCCCCTCACCTGCTCAGGGCAGACCCCCCAGACACACCACCTTTTAGTGAAGTGCCCACAGTGTCGGAAAGCAGACCCGCCCAGGGCAGAGGGGCAGCGGGCGAATCCTGGGCAGGCATCCTCACCTCTGTGCGGGCCCTTCTCTGGGCTCTGCCCTCAGGAGTAAAACAAGAGGGCTGAGGTGGACAGTCTCAGAGGGCTGTCCACTCAGCATTAGCGGCAACACCCTAAACAAGGGATTTTCAAATCCGTGCACAGGTAGGAAGGAAGACTCGCGTGAGCCTCCGCCCCACCCACCCTGGTGTGTCAGTGGGAGCAGCTGTTTTACATGTGGGGGGCGTGAGACAATCTTGTTTGTATAAAGGGTTTCAATGCAAAAAAAGAGAAAAGTTTAAAAACCAGTCTTTCAAGCTAAGTCCTTCAAAGGCTTAGGACATAAGGTTTTAGACTCTTTCCCAAGAGCAAGGGCGGGGGCCGGGGGAGGCGGGCGGGGAGGCAGGAGCATTTGGGGAATGGGGATGAGGGGAGGAGAGCCCTAGAGCGGCCGGCCGGGCCCGCAGCCCCCAGACCCACCCAGCTCCAACAGCTCCCAGTGCTTCCCCTGTGGTCTGGCCCTGAAAGAGCGGCTACACAGAGACAGGGAAATCTGAGAACCCGCCCTGCAGGTCTGCCGAACGGCTCCTCTAAGAATTGTGAGTAGCAAAAGACTAGGAAAAAAAGTAACTGTCCATCCACAGGAGCTGCGAAATAAGTTACAGTGTATCCTGCTGCACAGCTGTTAAAGAGAATACAGCACTCCCCGAGCATCGCTATGAAAGAATCTCTAAGATACAGTATTACAACTGGGAGAAAGCAGCATGCCCGCCCACAAGCCCCCTGCCCGGACCCTTTCTCTGGGAGGGAGCATACTGAAATACTCTTTTGCGCCGTTTTGATTTTTTGCT